GCCAGTGTCTATATATTCATTTGTTCTCAAAATTTTCCATTAAAGTCTCACTTCACCCATCTTCTATAAAAATAGGACTATTTTCAAATTCTATAGTCATATACTAACAATTTAACACTAAAATACTCTTTGTATTTCTTAAACTAGGTATACAGTATGTAATACACTGAAGTGCAGTAAGATGGTTTATTATGCACAAGACTGTGAGTGCAGACTATCTCTAATCTACTTCTCACTACGTATATGACCTGAAGTAAGTAACATACCCTCTCTTCCCCATTTTCCCATAGGGCTGTGGTGAGAATTAAATGCACTAATGTATATCAAGTGCTTAGAAAGGTGCATGGCACTTAATAAGCACATCATAAATGTCAACTACTTTAATTATGTAATTATTATTTTTATGAGAAATGGCATCCCAGCTCAGACAACTCAGTACAAATCCTGATAATATTAAAATTTCAATTTACTTTACAAGTGAGCTCAAACATTTAGGAAAGCTGGGCTAATATCAGCCCAGGTTTTACACTAAGCAGTCTGTGTTTACACTATATGTACCCCATTCACAAATCAAATTTTCTCCAACTCTGAGTCATTATTAGTTTCTCTCCTGACTCATCACATAGAAAGGTAGACAGTCTGGAGCATAATGGGAATAACAAAAGGCATTTCTTAATCCACCTGGATTTATAAAGTTTACTAAGTGGAACTTGTCCTATATTCAATACACATACTAAATAATTATGACCTAACCTGTGTTCACTTAAAAGTGCTTTCTATATGTTAAATGCTCCTTTATCTTCCCTTTCACCAACACAAGTTCAAACTATGGAGTAGGTGTTATGATCCCATTTTGATAGAAAAGCAATTTATCACTTAAGTAAAATCAAAGATTCACATTTTCTGACCACTAGCCAAAAATAAATTTACATTTTGCCAAGAGCCTGGTGTTCAAAATTTTGCCACACTATAGGTTAGAGGGTCAGAAGCAATCTCTGAGTACACAAATTTGACCTGAAATTCTATTCAATTCCATACCTTTACTGTTTTCCTCATTCAAATATTTGAATTAATTCAGATAACCTTTAAAAAAAAGTTTCATAAAAGTCTAGGGAAATATGCTCAGTAATGAAAGGTAGGTTAATGTTTAAAAACTCTCCTTTTCCTAGATATATACATACACACAAAATATACAAAAACATTTAAAATATTGCTCTATCACTTACTTTCTATGTGATCTTGAATCATTTAAGCTCTAAGTCTTCATTTTCTCCTCTAGAAATGGGGATAAACAGTGTAACTACCACATGAGACTGCTTGAACTTCAGTACATAAAGCACTTTAGCCAACCACTGAAGTTAAACCACTTTAGCCAACCACTATTTTAAAACAGAAGTTTTAAATACTGTATATGTTAACTTTTACACTTAAACCAAAACTTCAGTGCCACCTCTACCTATTCAAAGATTCTATTTTCTATGGCAACCATCTCCATTAACCCATTCACACAACCCTACTCAATGGCAGTAACTTCACAAACACCCTGAAAACAAGTATATAACTGTCTAGGAAGCTTTCTTCAACTGTCACTCCTCCTCCCTGGGTTAGGTACCTTGCTCAGGCACTAAGCTGTACTTACTACTCTACTTTTCACATTTCCTTATATTACCTGAGAGCACCTCGTGGGCAAGGCTTATGTCCTATTCATTTCTATACCCAGACTGCAGCCCAACAGTTCTTACTACTGACTCACATTTGAATCAAATGGGGAACTTTTAAAAATATTAATGCCTGGGATCCATCCCAGACCCATTCAATTATTACAGGGTGGGGTGAAGGGACAAAGAGGGCAAGGAATTGAATTAGCATGAGCAAACTTTTTAAAGATCCTAACATACTATCAATGTGCTGCTCAAGTTAAGAACCACTGCATGCTGATACTTAATATACTATACAAACAATTATGTATACATGTACATATGTGAGAATATAAGTAAAAATATACAGGTACTGAAAAGTTTTAAGACTCAGGTCAAGATTCTCATCCTCAATACCTTCTCCCAGCCCAATCATCCCCTCCCTTTAAACACACACTATTTCCAATAAATAGTTACATGTTTCATTAAGATGACTTTCAAACTGTTAACTCAGTACTTAAATTTTTTCATATAATTATGCCTTATCCTTCTTCCTAGATTATAGCCTTGCTCCTTGAGAATATACACTGCCGTATTCTTGTTTTCTCCACTGAAGGATAGTGTCTTTAACAGGTATGTAATAAACAGTTGATTGATCTGATAAACACACATAAAAATTATTGGCAAGAAGTATGCCATGTCCAAATTACCCAATTCAGGTGAATTACTACCAAAAAATAGAAAATGTAAAAATTTAGAAAAAAGGATTTTTTTTAATCTCTTATTAAATTTTATCTCATTAAAGAAGCTCTGGGTATTTCGACTTTAGCCACCACATGCAGTAACTACCCAGTTTCCTACCTCCCAAACGGCTAGTTTCAGTTTTTGACCTGGTTCCTTGCCTATAACTATCTTCTAGTCAATTCTGGTATCTTTAGCTGCTGTCAGGTACCTTTATAACAGTATTATATACACACTATATAACTTGTAAAATGAGGTAATGAAAGTCATGTATCACACAGAAGTTTCGTAAGTACTTCCTTGAAGGAACTTAATGTTTATCCACCATTAAAACAAGATCTCTACATACGAACTACATGTTAATCTACTAATACAAACTTGGTTGGGAATCATGTCTGAAAATAAGAGTCTTACTCGACATTAGATAAAATAAAGACTACTGTTGAATATAGAGAGATTGATCATTTTCATCTTTTTACATATTTTCATACCTGAAAAATTTGCAAAATATGTATGGCTTTTTAAAATAGGGGTGTTAAATTAAATATTACACAAGAAACTCCACGGCAACTGGTATTCTCAATGTTGAAACTACTAGGAGAAATGGCACACAATTCTAAAAAAGCAACAATATAAAGACATGGAAATGGCTCAGCTTTAAAGTTTTGCATCACCTATTTTACCACTATTAAAATCATCTGAAATACATAAGTTGTTTTGAAAAATATGAAAATATGAGGAGGAGGCACTCAAGAAGTATGTCTGTTAATTAGATACTGTGGTAAAACATTACTGTTTTGTTGGGTCCTGCAGCTTGAAACGGATAGAGCCATAGTTACCACCAAAAGAAAGCAGTCCTCAATTCCCTATTCAATAAAAAAGGTTCAAATTCCACAGACAAAAAAAAGGTACCGTTGGTTTGTTTGTTTTTAAGGAAGATTAAATTTAGGAGTTGCCAACACCCAAACGAAAAACATTCCAGAGTATTAGACTCCATTGTAGTGGGGAGTCATCTACATTCTCAGCACTATGTTCTCTTACTCAAAGCAGGGATATTAACAAAAGATGTTTCTTAGGATCTCACAAGATACACTCTACTTACTTCCCCTAGGAAACATTATGCTTGTTTAAAAAAAAAAAAAAAAAAAGTACTTGAAAAATAATTTTAGCACATGCAGCCAGAAAAAAGTCAAGTTTAACATCTGCCAAGATATTTCCCGAAATAAGACCCCTGTTAGATAAACAATGAGGAAAAGATTGAAAATGACAAATTCTTTTATTTGGACCATCAGCTACTTCTAAAAATCAAGTTGAGGAATGCAGCTTTTCCAAAGCCTTGTCTTCAATTTCCCCTTAATCTTCACATTTTTAACTAAAAAAAAAAAAAACCTGGAAATTTGATTACCACTCTTATGAATTCCTTCTAAAGCAATTTAATGAATAACAGACCTTTTGTGCAAGTAGCAAACCGCAGAGGACAGTTTTGCTGGCTGATAAAAATCTCTGAAACGCTCATATAAATACATCCTACAAAGACACACTATGATTTTCCAGGTATGGAAATCATAATACTAAAAATTTAGGTATATTTAATATACACTCTAACTTATTGCAAATGCTTTTACTTAAACCACAATTAAAGTTAGTAAATTCGAAATAGTTATTTACTGGGTGACAAAATTGAGTAAAATTAGAAAGCCAGGAGAAGAAAACGTGAAAGCCAAAGAGTCAATGAGAAAAAGATGCATGTATTTTAGGTGAAACAAGGTGTTGAACCACTTCCTCAAATCCATGAGCTACTATCAAAGTAACCAAAACTTGTTTGAGATTGTTTTGTCTTGTTTCTGGTAGAGGGAGGTGTGATTATACACTTAGTAAAAATGTTTTACCAGTCACTCTAATGGAAGATGCTGCTACCTGCAGCAACGTTTTGAAAATACTCAAAACTGCAAACAACCCGAAACAAACAAAAAACCCTACCACGTATGTGTTTCAGACACAGTACTCAAAAAGAGATCGTCTGAGCGAACAGAATTGTGGGTTATTAAAGCATCCCTGTTGTCGTAAATATCACTCAGAAAAAAACTGTGTGTGTGTTTAGGAGCACAACTTATAAACATTTGATTTATATATAAAACAGTGAATGTATTCATTCGGATATACTCATCTTGAGTTCACTGGAAGATAAATCTGTCTCGGATATTGCTAAGGCCACATTTTCTTTACAGGTGCTATTAAACATTGGTAAGAAAGGAGAAATAAACTGGTAACTTCACATGGGCACGTGGGACCCTAGAGAATGTCGTCACCACCATTAATCAATTTTTCTAACTGATCAAGCACAAGCAGCCAAGTCCAGGTGGGCAAGTCCTGGAGCCACAAGTTGTCTTTCTACCACGGTAAAAAAGAATCCTGGATCTGAGACCTGGCCAGGAAGCCTGAAAAGCACGTGTCCTACTCTTGAGTTTGGGGAACTTTCCAGGAGGCATTTGTTCAGAGTAAAACTCCATCACCCCCTGCCTGCCTAACTCGGTGAATGGACAAGTACCAGCCAGAGGAGGCAAACTATGGGCCCCGGGTAGCTCCCAGGAGGAAGACACCGGGAAGAAGCTGCCGGCTCACCTCTGCAGCAGGGATGTTGACCACGCCGGTGGAGCGCCGCTTCTCCCGCAGCTTCCTCTTCTCGATCTGCCCCTTGCCTTTCCTGGCACTGGGGCCCGAGCTCTTGCCCTTCTCCGGGACGCCGTCCTGCTCCTCCTCGTCACGCCGGGGCGGCGATGCAGCCGAGGCAGAGGCGGCTGGGGGCTCGTCCTCCG